CTGGCTGGAGAATTCTGGGAGTTGAAGTCCACACATCTTCAAGTTGCCAAGGTTGAGAAACACTGAATTAGATTTATTCAATGCCATCTATGCATTGGGATGGCGTTCCATGGGCTTATACTTTGGAGTGATAGTAATAGGAGCCACATCTTCTAGGAAACATTTTTAACTTTGAGGCTGTATCTCTTAACGAAGAACATCCCAGCCTTGTGGTGAGGATCCTTGTTTCTGTGTCGCTGCATAGACAAGCTGGCTTTAAAGCTTCAGGTAAATGGTTCCTGCTCTAGAGTTGGGTCCCAAAACATGCGAACTAAGGCACATCTAGAATCTGCCTAGGTATGATTGAGTCTGGCCCCATGGCTTATACCTCTTGAGATGAATTTCACAGTATGACTGGAAGATGCAAAAGGACTAGACCGTTCATATCATCCAACTTGTTCCGGTGGGTTGTTTTCATCTCTGTTTTTGTGTGTCTGCATTGATATGTTCTAACTGGAATTTCAATAGGCTTGAGTATCTGAATGAAAAAAGGGAGAAATCCAAGGATGAGATGGAAAAGCAGATCTTGGGGAAGCAGATCCAGGAAACGGAACTTGAAATAAATGAAATCAAGTAAGATTTGCAGCCTGCATTCCACAATGATAGAGGTCCCTCTCTTTTGACCGCTTATATCCCTGAAACCTGATGTGAGCCAGAGCGTAATTTGAGAAGCTTTCTGAAGGCAGTTGGACCCACCCGCCAGCAAGAGCGATCTGCCAAAAAGGGAGCAGGAGACAAAGAGGAAAGGAGTTGACTTCAGCTACTTCTGACTTTGGTTGTTGCATCCAACCAAAGAATGATTCGGAGTTACATCTCCAGTAGCCCACGTGGTTCTCTACTAAATATTCTCTATTCTAAGAAAGCTGTTATTTTTGAGAGGGTCTTGCAGAATATGCAGTGCTAGAATCAGCTGATAGTCCCTTACAGGAGCTCCAGAAAGCCATCATACTGGATAGGACTCCTTCCCTGGTGTTGAACTGGGCCCAGGTGGAATTCTCTTGTCCCCTGATATCCTTTCTTTGGTTGAGGACTCATCTTGGCAGGGTTAGGAAATTAGGGCTAGGTTTATAGGAGCAACCTATAAATTGCAGGACACTCTGAATTTGAAGCTGCTCTAGTTTCATTGGATACATGCTAAAAATCTCTGGGCAGTGAGTTCAGCAGTATAACCAGTATCTTTGGATCTGAACTGAGTGCAGGACATAGATGGAGAGGAATGCTTGTTTCTCATAATACTGGGGTTGTCCTTGGAAGCTGGGTGGTGGGAGATTCAGGAGAGGTAAATGGGAACGCTTTCTAAGCATGAGATGCACATGGTCACCAGCTTGAGTGGTTGTAATGGGAGTGAGATGGATTCACAGAGAAAGAGGAAGTTACTGTGCTCGTCCCAATGGCTGAACAGTCAGTTTATTTAGCTAACAGTGGTGGGAAACTGCTCTGGTTACATAGCGGGAGCCCTTCATGATAGGCCAGGTCAGCAAACAGACACTTCAAGGATTAAAGGAATACTACTTCATTGTTCTAGGCTGTAGTAACAGAATCTTGAAAGCCTGACGGGTTCCCTCTACCCCCTCTTATACCAAAGAGAAGGCAGGGCCAGCTTGAGTTTCTTTCTCACGCTCTCCCCTTTCTCAGGCCTGAGTTGGGGCATCTCCTTTAACTGCTCCTCCGTTCCTTCATTGAGTTCTGCATTCCTCAGCACATAGGTCAGGTCTCTTAGCATTCTTATGAATTAAAGCTACTCTCTAGTATCGATAAGGCTGGTGTGTATTCTAGATTAATTAGTGTCGCTGAATGATGTTTCCATAGCAAACAAAGCCACTTGACATTTAAGGCTTAGCTTTTCCCCCATGCTACCTTGTGACAATTCAGAATAATTCATGATGGTGTATATATTAGTAAGAGAAAGTGAGTTTAAACTGGAACAGCAACATTTAAACCAAGGAGGAAAGATGACTGCAAACGTGTCTTGAATAGCTACCAAAAGTTGTGGCTTCTCTGCGGAGTTGGCCTGCGCAGGCCTACGCGCCTGCTTAAGGAATAGCACAGCTTTTCTAACTGCTGTTCTGTTTCCTCTGGGTCTAGCATGTTGCCGGAAGAAGCTCTGCTGGGAAACAGGCTTGATGAGCACGACTGGGACAAGATTGCCAACATCAATGTGAGTCTACCCTGGCTTCAAAACCTGCAGGATCAGTGGAGGGAATCTCACATGGAGGTTCATATCCCGAGTGTGTCTTTTTTTTAAAAAAAAAAATGAGGTGGTGGCCATTTTTCCTGTCTCCCTAGTTTGAAGGAACACGCAGCGCAAAAGAGCTGAGGAAATACTGGCAAAATTATGAGCACCCCAGCATCAACAAGAAAGAATGGAGCGAGGAGGAGATCGAGAAACTGAAGGAAATTGCTGCCCGGCACGGTGGCCTGGATTGGGAAGCAGTAGCCCAAGAGCTGGGGGTAAGGCCACCAAGTCTGGCCAGAATCCTGTAGAATTTCTGGCTGAAATGTTAATATTGGGAGGTGGGGAGAAGAGGGCAATTAGAATTCAAACATCCAAGGTAGCGTTTACTACGAGTAAAAATCACCCATTTCTTAGAACTGGAGAATTTTAGAGGAGCATTTTGGACTGTCAGGGAAGGTCACGGTGCTTGGAAAGAATTACAAACCGGTGCAGTTAGAAGGGAAAAACGGACTGAATTTGAACATGGAGGTTCAGAATACAATCTCACTTAAATATCTATTTATTCTGTTGTGTTTGTGTTGGGAGTTGGGAAGTGCTGGAGTGGAAATAAACAAACGAACAATGCACTTTAGGCTGTCTGGCTAATGCTTCCTGCCTACTAGATTCTTAGGAATTCACTTTAGCACAGATCGATAATTAGCAGGACTATTTCTATTAAGTTGTAAGGAACAATTAACTACTGAGTTGTAGCCGATTATACTTATAGTTGATTGATTTCTCTGTGCATTTTAGTGTGCAGACTCATTTGAAGCTGCTGTGATTTTTGTCCTTGTGCTTCTGACCAGCCGAGGTTTAATTCAGCTCATGTTCCTGCTTAAATCTCACGCGCTGCTGGCTTTTGGCTCTGCGAGAAGAGGAACCAGGCTGTTTCCACTTGACAATCATAAGAAAGATGGTTGTCTTTTCTTTTTGAACTGATCAAGCTTGGACTTTGCTTATGCTCAGAAATCACTGATGTTTTATAAAAAATCACAAGAAAGGATCCCGCCCAATCATGCAAAAATGTGGAGCAAGGCGAGGAGGAGGAGGAGAGCTAATTGTGGTTTCCTCAGCAAATTATGGTTAAACTGTGTCTTGGCATTGTATTTGCCCACAGTATTTAAATGGGCCCTCGATGCATAACTGGAAAAACCAGGTGCCGTCTATGGAACAGTGCCTTCCCCCTCAGTATCTGGTTGGCCCCAACCCTGCCTGCCTTTCAGAGGCTCTTAAGACCTGGGTTTTCCCCCAGAGACTGGTTCAGGAGGTTTTGTGCCTGTCTTGATCATCTTTAACTGTTAGGCTGGTTGGAATTGCCTCCTACATAGGCTACGTTCCCCGCTCCCCTGCTGTTTGGTTACGCGCTGTTATTGTGCTCTGAGTCACGTATCAATTGGGTGGCTATATGAATCGATTAAATAAATGCATACGTAGGCACCTACAGCAGCTCTGACTGCGTCTGCCTCTCCCACTTCTCCCCACCTTCTGGCCTGCCATTCCCCACTCAATCCCTTGCTTCTCCTTCCTCCCCAGACGCAGCGCACGGCCTTTCAGTGCCTCCAGAAATTCCAGGCCTACAAGAAAGATTTCAAACGGGGTGAATGGAGCCCTGAAGAAGACCAGATGCTCAAGCAGCTCGTCCAGGAAATGCGAGTTGGGAAACACATTCCGTACCGGAAAAGTAAGCCACCTTCTGGGAGAGCTCCTGACTGCAGCATCTCGCCTTGTTATTTCTGTGAGAACCGAGCCACCCACATCTGTCTAGAATCTTAGAGTTGGAAGGGACCTTAGAGGTCATTTAGGCCAACCCCTGCTTGTGTAGAATCCATTACCGCACCTCTGATGGGTGAGTGTCCTGCCTCTGCTTGGAGGCCTGCCACAAAGCCAAGCTTACCTTTTCATGTGCCTTGTGCAGTCGGGAAATTTCTCTTCTGTAAACCTCTTTGTTTTAACCCTTAATGCACTTAAGAAATACTTTTTTGCTGCCTTCTTGTAAACAGCTTCCCCCAACCTGGGCACCCTTTGGGTGAACAGCTTCCCGGAACTGTTCCTGCTGGCTGGGATTCTGGATATCTTGAAGGGCTGTCCTAAGCTCAGGGTTGCTCCCTTTCTTCCATACAATCATAGAGTTGGGAAAGGGATCTGGAGGCTGTCACGCTGACCCAGCAAAGGAGGGGTTGTTTCCTGGCTGCGTGGCTGGTTCACTTGTTCTCTTCTTTGGGCCAGAGGGTAACTAATTATCAACTTTGCTAGACCCTATTTCTCTGCTCTTGTGACTCAGGGGCTGATGTAGAGCTACTCAGTTTTCCAGCACAAATTCATTGGCTTTCTTGGACCGTGTGTGAAAGATCCCTCAGTTATAGAGATAGTACTGCTTTTGCTGCTGGTGCCAAAGGTCCAGCATTTTAACTTGATTGGCCAAGTCACCAATGACATTTGTGGCTACAGGTAGTCCTTGCTTAATGACCACAATAGAGACCAGAAAATTCATTGTTAAGCGGGGTGGTTGTTAAGTGAGCCACGCCCAATTTTATGACCTTTTTTGCAATGGTCATTAAGAGAATCATGTTGTTAAGTGAATCTGGCTTCCCCCATTGTCTTTGGTTGTCGGAAGCGCTCTGGGAAGGTCACAAATGGTGATCACATGACACTGGGACACTGCAACCATCATAAGTACGAGCCAGTTGCCAAGCACCCAGATCGAGATCATGTGACTGTGGGGGTGCTGCAAGAGTTGTAAGCGTGAGGACTGGTTGTAAGTCCCTTTGTTCAGCACCATTGTAACTTCGAACGGTCACTAAAAGAATGATTAAGTGAGGACCGCCTGTACTTCCAAAATGTCCTTGGTTGGTTTTTGAGAACCAAAGATCCAAGGCTTGTAAGTGCCAATGCTTGAGATGTTGAAGCAGCTGAACGTGATCCTGGGAAGGCACCTGGCTCAGACAGTGCAAGGAAGCCCCTCCTTGCTAACTTACCTCTCCAGTGCCACGCAAAAGTGATCAAGTGATAGGAAATTTCTGGTCCCCGTAAAATGGTGACTGTGAATCCTGCGTGTTCCACAGTTGCATACTACATGGAGGGGAGGGACTCTGCCCAGCTGATCTACAGGTGGACCAAGCGAGTGGACCCCAACTTAAAGCGAGGCGCCTGGACACCAAAGGAGGATGCTGTAAGGCCCTTTTTCGTCGCTGTTGGGGAGACTCAACAAGCATCTCTTAGTTAACTTCTCTGGGGAAAACCGGTCAGTGGGGCCATTTTCTGGAAAAGAATATCTTGAGCCAATCCTGAGTCTAGTCCTGCCTGCCTTTGATCTGTGCATGGACTCGTCAACCAAGGTTTTGCTTCCTCCCTGCCCCACATCGCCTATTACGTGACCCTGCTGGAAAGGGGGCTTTGCCATCGGCTGTGGCTTTCTGCGCTCCTTCCTTGAGGGGTTAGGGTGCAGATATTGATGGCTTGGCCTGGCCAAGTCAGGATTTGGGCATCCCATCGCAGTCCCTGGAGCTGCAGTGCTGGAGATCTGCGGTCCTGTTGGCGTCTCTCGCACTTCCTGGGGATCTGGGCGAGGCATCCTCCCCTTTCTCGATTTCCTCAGCTGCTGCTGTTTGAAGGAGGGCAGGAGCACCACCCTTCCTCCTCCAGCAGCACACGTTCACCCTGGGCGCCCTTTTGTCCTTCCAGTTGCTCCTGAAGGCCGTTGCGAAATACGGAGAGCGGGACTGGTATAAAATCCGGATGGAGGTCCCTGGCAGGAACGACATCCAGTGCCGAGACAGGTGGGTCCCGCCTCAGAGCTTTGGCTGTTTAAATTGGACGGTTGCTGCGTGCTTCAGGCATATCTCTGCCTGCCCCTGCATTACCTCCGGCTTGCTGTACGGCCCTGAGGTTACAGGGTGGTTTTCATTACCAAATTATAGGTAATACTAGAGCATCTTCTATCAGAGTTCACCCCTACAAGTGATGAGAGGACGGTGCCCTCCTCCAACAGGCATACAGTTTAAAATGCAGCATGGTGGCATGGCTGTACAACAGCTGGATGACCTTCAGCTCCCAGAATTCTCCATCCACCGTGGCTACTGCTGAGGAGTCTGGCAATTGAAGGCCACCTACCTGGAGGGAGCCCAGATTGGGGACTAGGAAGCAAAGGGTTCTTTGCTATAAAGGCTCCTTTAGGACAGTTATAGCATGACATTAAAACCAGAAGAAATAAAACAGGACACGTAACTACAAGTCAAAGCAGTCTGTTGAGAATTGTTCAAAAAGGCAAAGACAACCTTCAGAACCAGATGGTGCTCTGCGGACTTCCCTGAGAATCTTTTACCTTTAACTTTTAATGTTTTATTGCTTTTACTGTAATTTCTTTGTTTCATTGTTGCGCGTCACCCAGAGTCGTTGAGAGCTGGGTGGTGTACAAGTTTAATACATTATTAGAATAGTTAAAGATTGGCATATATGAAGCCCGTCCACAGCAGTGCACTTCTATAGATGCCCACCGGAAGGACAGGCTGGCCCCTTTCTGCTGGTGGGCCCGCTGTCCCAGGGGCCTGCTCAGGAGAAGGCCGGTCCTCCTGCCCCAGCCCCTTTTAACTTTGGAGCCGCTGGGTCAGAGGCAGACCCCAGCCAAAGGAATTCCAGTTTGCAGCCGCTCCTCTCTTCTGTCCCTGTGTCTAGAGGCGAGGGGAGGGGGCGAGCTATTCCATCTCCCTTCCGGGTTCAGAGGACACACGGAGCAGAGCTTGAGGGTTCCAGACCGGGAGAAAAGGCTCTGCCCCGTAACCCCAGGCGGTGCCCAGGACCAAGTCCAAATTGGCTAAATCTACACAACGTGTTCAGGAAAAGATTCCTGTGGGATTGAATAGAGTTGGCCCCAGGGTATTGGTCTGTTAAAGAAAGGTTTTTTGCTGGTGGAAGAAAGGTACAGAATCAGCATATGAAGGGCTGGAGGCGGTTGCACCCTCTGCTGTGCGCTGGGGTATCTGCAGGGGCGAGATGAACGAACAGTTTTGGGAGAGTTTTTGCAATTGGCTTAGTAATCAGAGAACCTTTGGGGCTTTTTGCATGAGAGAACTATGTCAAAAGGGTCCCGATACCCAGCAGGGCATAACCACCACTTCAACTTCTTTCTTGCCTCCTCCCATGATTGCAGGTACTTGCATTCATTGCACTGCGATATAAAGAAGGGGAAGTGGAGCGAGGAGGAAGAAAGGAAGCTGATAGAGCTAACCGAAAAATATGGCAGGGGTAAGGCGGATTCTTGGCCGAGACCAAAAGGCGCGGGAAGGAAGCCGTGTGGCCTTTCTCTCTTGCGGGACTTCGGCGGGCCCCAAAGGTTTCCTGCTATTCCTCCAAGTGTCATCAGTGGCTCACAGAGGAGAGGTTCTCAACTATCAGATGCAACCATTCTCAATTATCAGATCAGCTATCCATGATTTTTGCATGGATAGCAGAAGGTTGCTTGTGTCCACCCCGGAATCCGTGGTGGGCAATTTAAACATCAGTGCCAGACTTACATTTTTGGACACTGTCATTCGTATTGGATGGCTAGGTTTTCTTAGGCCTTTTATTGTAAGATGGCTTGTCCTGAAGGGCAGGCCCATTTCTGAGGGTGATCCTTAGAAAGAAGAGAGCCATTTCTGGCACAAAGAAGTGTGCTGTATTTACAAATTACTTTAGTTCTAGCAAGTAAGATGAGGAATTACTTTTTTTCTCTCTCTCTTTAGGCCACTGGGCAAAAATAGCATCGGAGTTACCCCACCGCTCAGGAGCTCAGTGTCTGAGCAAGTGGAAAGTGTTGCTGGGATATCGAGTGAGTTAAACTCTTCCTTACACGACGCTTTCTTTTGAGGCAACAGAATTCCCAGCGTTGCACAGCAGGTCCTGCAGCTCTTGTCCCACCAGATCTAAGGAAGGCTGCTTTAAAGCCATCACACTGAGGATTATGTCTGACAGGCTGAAGTTGGGTTGTGCCTTGTTGCATAGGAAGGGCTTGGCGATTTTAAATATATCCCAGGAAATATTACTTTCTGCCGTTGTAAAGTGCTTTAGGAGGAAAGGATGATGCTGGTGCTGCGGTAACTCCCCCCACCCCCCAGGTGCCTTGCTCCGTGTTGCAGCTCTCTTCTTTGTGTTAAAGAGGAACAGGAGGAAGAAACCAGAGAGCGGACTTTATCCAAGGCGGAAATGTGTCCACCAGTGGAGCTGCAGCCCCTCGGAGTCCAGCAGTGAAAATTCAGACCTGGATTTGGATGGGGATGGTGCCGAGGAGGAGGATGAGGGGCCCAAGGCCTACCAGCCCAAAGCTGCAGGTCACTGGAGAGTACCATGCATTGATCTCTGGGTCCCTGCAAGGAAAGAGCTGTCTGGAGCCAACTCTGGGGAGCTGGCTGCTGTCACTCTGCTCTCCAAAGGCTTTGACATGAACAGGAAGAGGAGGCTGGATTCTGGGGCTCTGCTAGGTCCAGCAGAGAGCCAGAGGACAGAGGATCTCGTTGCCCTCAGTCCGGAGATTCCAGAATTGGCTCAGATGAACGCAAAGGAGGGACTGGTAAGAACCCCCCCCCCCCCGCAATGTATGGTACCTAAATCCCCAGGCCTTTGGTGCCCCTCCCCTGATTTTGGATACGGTTCCCAGAGCCCTTCCAGCATTGGCACTGAATTACCATTTTTACGGTGATAGAAGGGGGAAAGTCCTAAAATTATTATTAAAAGCAATCATCGCCATCAGCCCATTACTCACTGAACTTAATTGCAAGTTAATTCAAGAAAAGGAGTGTAGCCCTCCCCCCCTCTTTTTGAAGGTCAAGTTGGGGCTTGGGCTGAAAAACATTCTGTACCTTGGTTTGATATGTAGGTAAGTTTCTTGGGTCTGAACAGCAAAGGTAAAAAGTCCATTTGGCTTCCTCGTTTTTGTATAAAACCTGAAGCAAGCATACCAATGCAGGAAGGATTGAGGATTGAGAAGGAAAGGAAGAAGGAGCTGAAATGCTTCTTGGTTCCAGGAATCTGGTGTGTCAGTGGTGCTTCTAATCAGTATTTGGGGGGAGTTCAGCTCCTGTGAAGTATTTTGGGCTGGGAACTTTGGCAATCCAGTTCCAATGGCTAAATTCCACTTCCTGTCCTGAATTCTGTTTTTGGAGAATAGGAGTAGAGAAGCCTAACTTGAGACTTCAGAAATCCATCCAAGCACTTCTGAGTGTAACCCCCGCCCCCCCACCAAGATCTCCAAAATTGGAAGGATGTGCAAAGCCTACCAGGTTGGCATGGTCCACAGGAAGAATGGAGTTTTCCAAAACTCTACATTCCGAGAACGTTAGGCTTTACACATCCCTACCAAATTGGACCATTTAATGCAATGGAGAAAACTATTAAACAATGCTTGGAGGGTAACATTAACTATGTTTGAGTTTCATGTAAAAAGAAATAAAACATAGGGTTTCTGACCTACTATCTGGTTGCATACCTTTCAAAAGGATTCATGAAGCCTTCCATTCAGAAAAGGCTGTCCACCACTGGATTAAGAATTTAATTCTTGTTTAAAAATTGAAATGTGAATTCTTGCTTGATAAATTTGTTCTTCCTCCTCCTTTTCTGCAGAATTCCGAAAACGCGAGGGATGCTTGGAGGGTTTCCTTGGCTTATGTGAAGCGTGTGCTGAGGAGGAACAGCTATGAGCTGCAGAGGAGAAATGTAAGTGCCTGCCTTGCTCAGCGGCTTCTTCCGAGCACCCACTTTTAAAGGACAGAAGCTGGAAATCTTCTGATGGAGGGTTCCCCTGTACCTGTACCTCCAGTCAGGGAGCTTTCAAACCTGCCTGATGTATATCTGTTTCCTCTAGAGCAGTGTTTCTCAAGCTGGCTGGGGAATTCTGGGAGTTGAAGTCCACACATCTCAAAGTTGCCAAGGTTGAGAAACACTGCTCTAGAGGGCTCAAGAGGTTGTAGGAGGGTTTTTACTCCCTCATCCTCTATAAATTGGTCTGGCGTAAATAGGTTTTGGGGCACTGGATTTAAGATGGGATCAGACAAAGATTTGGCATTTGCGTCTGAAAGGAACAAGGACTTGTTGAACTGGATGGTTTGGAGGGAGGTGTATGTCTTACATGCCCCAAGGTCCCTGGAATGAGTTCCTCATATGGCCAAATCTTCAGCAGATGAAACTTGGGAATCCTCCGTGCAGAAACAGAGGAGGGACATGCTCTTATTTTATTTATCTTATTTCCCAGCGAGAAATCAGAAGAAAGAAGCGCTTTGCCTCCAGCTCCCAAATGGGCCCTGGGGGTTCTCGGTTGGCCCCGCTGGCCAGTGAGGCGAATGGAGCCCGCCGGCAAGATGGGATGTGGAAGACAACGATCTACCGGAGATTGATGGTGGCAGTCACCCCCTGGGCTGGGAGCATGGTGCAGGAGTGGGCCCATCGGGTAAAGGAGGCAGCTTCCCGCAAGTCAAAAGGTACCCGCGATCCAGTGGCTCCAAGCAGCAGCTTGATCTCGCTTTAAGGCAGCCTAGAACTGCCTTGGGGTAGAGGGGCGCTTGAGACCATCTTGTCCAGTGCAGAAATCCCCATGAAAACATCCCTGCAGGACGGCGCTCAAGACTCTCTGTCTCCCCTCTTGAACTGTGTTAAGAAAGAGGGCAGGATGAAGAATCCAGGATGGATTTAACTTATGGGAAGAACTGTTGATTTTTTCTAAATGTCGTAAAGCTAGGAGCATCCTTTCGGAGGTTCAGAGAAAACCAATGTGGATGATCCTTCCAAGATTGTCTTTTCATAAAGCGAAACATTCCCATCCTCCCTGCTTTTCTGTGAAAAAAAAAAAGCAGGTGGAAAGAAAGGACACAGAGGACCATGAAGAAGATGACTCTTAATTTGTTAACCTAGAGGGCCAGAATAAGATCCACCCTTGTTTAAGTCATTCCCCACCTCAACTCCTGTTCCACAAATTGTCCCGGGATATTCATTCTTAGAGATGCCCCAAAACGAGACTTTTCTAGGCACCCTGTCCCTGAGGGTATTTTGGTTTTGACACACGTGGGAGGGTGTTGCCCCTCCTCAGCCTGTCCATGGTGGTACTTTCCTGGATTAGGCCACTGTGGATTAAAATTTTCCCCCCTCATTTCAGTGTTTCGAGTAATGAGAAATTTATTCACTTTTATTTAACCAATTTAGAGGCTTCCTGATTCCTCTAAGCTGACTCTGGGCGGCTTAGAGTCAAGAAAGTACAAATGACTCCATAGAAGAAAAGGGTTCGTAAGAGACCTGCAGATAGATGTATCAACCAAAAAAAATTAGTAGCTTTTTGAACATCATCAGGGTGGGAGCTGTCCTTCCCCTGGAGTGACAGAGTACAAGTAGTCCTCGCTTAACGACAGTAATTGGGATTGGAATTTTCATCACTAGGTGATACAGTTGTCAAGTGCGATGTCACGAGACTGCACTGCTTAGCAACAGCAGTTCTGGCAGTTCCTAGTTGCCATCATTTAAGTGAGGACCTCACGTAACCACGACTTCCTGCCGACTTCCCCATTGACTTTGCTCATGGGAAGCTGTCAGGGAAAGTTGCAAATCATGACCACGTGACACAGGGGTGCTGGAACAGCTGGAACCTTAAGGACCGGTCATAAGTACTGCTCGTTCAGCACCATCGCAAGTTTGAACAGTCGCTGAACAAGTGGCCGTTAACTGAGGACCACGTGTATAGAGATTCCTGTACTTCTGGTACCTTCCAGCCCAGAACAGTCTTCAGTGAGGAAAAAGAATGTAGAATGGTTCTGAGGGCCTCTCTTTCTCTTTCCAGCGGACTTGATCTTCAAGCAGCTGCAGATGGCCCACCTCACAAGCACACCTTTGTTCACACTTCTGATTCAGGTGGGTGGCACCAGCCTGTCAGAGACGGCCAGCCCATGCACCTCTCCTTGGCTGCAGCCAGGTGGCATCCAGTAAGACATCTTTGGGCGATCTCTTGTGTCAGTCCAGGAGTGGCAGGAAGCAAAAGGTCTCTGAGAGGAGCCCCAAAGCTGCTAGCATCCAGATGGGCAACTCTGCTGGGAGAGCAGGAATTTGCATCGTCCCACAACTGGGCATCGGTTTCAACCTTGCCTTGACTTAACTGGGGCTTTCGGCATGCATGCTTTTTGATTCAGATTCTCCCTGCCCAAATGCTGCAGAAGGCCATGGTTGAACTGCAGCATAAAGCCACTTTTTGTCATCCAGTTGAACAGCCCTCACTTCTTGGCTGCACAGGTGTGCCTTTGAAAGAGGCCCTTTCTCAGCCACGCCTTTTGCCTCGCTGGGGCTGACCACTCAGTCTCTTTCTTGCAGTTCCTTCATATCGATGTAGACGGCTGCATGAAAGTGATTCAGAAGAGAAAATCCCAGCAGCCGGAGCTCCTGAAGGCCATTGTTAAGACTGCGGACAAGGCCAAGCAGGTACAGCCTCCTCCGTGTGTCTTCTTGAAGGCAAAACGGGCCTTAAGGCAGGAGAATGAGGAGAACTTGTAGGGCACGTTCATTGTCAGCTGATGTGGAGCGCTGGCATTCCTGCTCCCAGTGTGCTGCTTGGGGGGTGAGTGCCCCGAATGCCTCTCTCACCCTAATACTTCATGGTTTTCCTTGTTGGCAAAGGCACAGAGGTGATATTAGGAGTCTTCAACATCAATTAGATTTGACAGTTTTTTCCATGTATGTTTTTTATAACGTGTTCATATCTCACTAAATAAATACCCCAAGTGGAATATTTCCAAGCCGAAGATCCAGGGTCGTTCCCTGGCATTTTTAGTATAGGCAAAAAAGTCTTTGCCCTTCTTGGATCATGGTTACCCCTGAATCCGTTAGATCAGCACGAGAGCCTTATACCAGATTCGGCTTCTGGTGGCCTCTCTGGATGGGTCTTAGCAGTTTCCTAGGCTGCACCGGAGTTAGATTGCCACTGCTTTCTTCCAGGACTTTTTTTTTTAACTTCCCAGTCTAGCCCAGAAATCTGGAGTTTCCTTGTGGTCTCCCATCCAATTACTAGCAGTTCCGACCTGCTTAGCTTTTTAACTTCGCATGAGGTGGCTGATTTCTGCCTCCTGCTGCAACGTAGAGGTCGTGATTGCCCACTGAGCACAAGCCAGCTGTGCGATGCAGTTGCTCACAGATTAAGAAGCTGCAGAAATTGCACTGCATCCTGTGCTTGGTCAGGCTACATCCGGAGTACATTGCCCAAGAATGTCATTTGATGAAGGATGGATGGAGAATGGGCGTGACGTCTGAAGAGGCGTGATAACCGTCTTGAAATACTGAAAAGGGTTAGGATATAATAGCTTTGTTTTTGCTCGGGGGGGAGCAGGAAATTGCAGCACAAAACATTAAGGTAGAAGGGATGTTCAACAAAAGAGCCTTTCTCGGAAAAAGTTTAGGGAGCCTTTCCCCAGGGACGTTGCACTTGCAGATCCACCCCCCCGCCCCCCCCGCCAATCCAGAGAAGCCAGCCGTCGTCGGCCTCGGTGCCTC